CTACTACTGAGATTTTTTTTAAAACCCAGTTATACTTTGCCCGACCCGGGAATCGAACCCGAGACCCCTTGCCCGGCAGTCGCACTTGCGATCATTCGGCCAACGAGGCAGTCACATAATTATTATTTTATACAAAAGCATATAACCCACATATTTCATTACCCACAATCTCGTTATCATACCAACTAAGTAAAGATCATTGAAATATCCCTAACTGATTGGAACAAGACCTTAAAACCGCCCAATAAGTCTTCATCGATATTTTAATAATTGGATCAAAAATCCTTTTGATTGACTAGTAAATAGCTTTTCTTATTTAGATATTAGAAGCCTCTAATTATTTTAGTCAAGTGGTTTATTTAAGCGTTCAGTGATTTTCCTTTGTTGTATATTGTCTATTGTTGTGTGTTCTTAATATTTAGAGGTGTATTCCTTCGAAGCACATGCGACGTCCTAATTATACGTAGTTCTATTTATGTTTGGCTTGTGGCTATTCGTGTGCAGTGGCGTGGTGGCGTCTGCTCAATATATTTCGTGCTTGGATTATGTTTTGGTGCGCCTACAATGTTCATTCCGCAAATTAGGAGGGAAGCGAATATTACGGTTGACCTCAACCAAGATACGGCTTCATGGTTATGATTTTTGCTACCATTATTACGTAATTGTTACATAGAAGATTTGATCACCTCACGGTGCGTCGAGATCTAGCGAAAAATGCCTTATCCACTATGAATTACTGCAACGTGGATGTTAATACATATTGTTATTACACAGATTGAAAATTTTAATTATAGTGATTACCTGACCGTATTTTAGTAATGAAGTGAATGGAATGGGTGGCTGATAATTCGTCCCTCGGCTTAGTAAAGAGACACAATTACTGAAAATAATAACAACAAGAAAACCTTAGTGCATTTACTTAAAGTAACAACTCTAGTATACAGTTTGCTCAGCACACACAGGCAAGTCAAGGTAAACAAAATACAAATTGTACTTAAATAAACTTATTTCCCTCCTAGTTTCCGTGCGCTACGGCTTTGCGTTGGGACCTTATTATGTGCAGAACTATTTCCGCGGCTTACGAGCAGAAAAATATCGTTTTAATCGTCTATTTACGCCCTTATAGTAACTATTTACAACTGTTAATAAGCGAAACAGAATTACAACTTTCCATCGATATTACCCGTTATCGTTACTGGAACACATCACTGCAGTATCGACAAGTGTCTGGAGGTATCGACCATTTCGCTTTAGAGGTGAACGCGTTGCAAATGTTATCGATACTTTCTTACAGTGGAAGAGCAGCGGCATTATCGTGTCTGTGTGACAGCAGTTGTTTGGCCTGAATCACCTTCCTGGTTCGCTATGAAAGGACGTTTCGATGAGTGCGTCGCGTCAATGGTTGAAAGGATCCGACAAAGACTTGGAGAATGAACTCGTAAATCTTATAAATTCACAAAAGAAATATTCTCAGATACGGTACGAAAAGAAAGTTCATTCTGATTCCTGCTAAGGAGTGTCTCGGAAACAATATTGTCGAGTGCGTTTTTCAAGTTTTTCCTGTTCCGTACATTCATATCTGTGGGGTAACAATAAATACGCACCTTTTATTTAACATTTTTACGGAAAATTGTGTGACAAATATTGTCGGTGTGAACTTGATGAAGAACATTATTAATTTTCATTTCTTATTTGTTGTTTATTAAGAAAATATATTTTTTTAAATCCTTTGGAACTCGACCTAAAAGTAAACGTTTTTTTCTAAGGATCTTTTAAATCAGATCATGCTTCAAAGATGTTGATAGATGACTACAAAAATATTGATGAGGAAAACTTCCGTTTATCAGAGTGACTGTGCTAAAATTAATAAAACAGAATTTAACAAATTCAGTGCTGACTAGGTACTAACTTTGAGATAAATAGATCTAGTTTAGTTCTTGCTGTACGCTGATCTTGGCTGTTTCGTTTCTCTATTTAGAGTATTTGATAAATGCGAGGAAAATTTTAGGTATGTAGTAGGTATGTGTGATTTAAGTCTATTCCTTATTACAACTAATATTTATACATATATCTACTTAGCAAAATCTTCAACGAATCATAGTATCATAATCAGACCTTTATTAACTAAAAATCGCGGGTTACTAACGTAAATAAACTGAGAAATGGTGTATTAGTTTCGAACCACAGAGGGGTTCTTCCCTATGAGCAACGTGCGCAGTCGCGGCCATGTCGCGCAAGCTGCTCATGAGATTCATTACAGAATTCCACCCTGTATCTGCTCAAAGCTGATGATGCATGAATAACAGAAAAACAACAACGATTAAAATTGTAATAACAATTTCTTTTTGTCAGCGTTTCGGGAGCGTCCGATTACACCCTGTATTACGTTTCATGGACGTATAATGTATATACATATATATGTAGTTATAATATTGTTGTTCTATTCCATACTACAAAGGCGTCAGAAGTGTGAGAAAACTATGTCAAGTGTTGTCTAAGGTCATATCTGATTAATAATGATATACTTACTAATACGGTCAGTGGTTCCTATAACAAGTATTTATTGACAGTATCCACCAAGGATCTGTTCGTTTTTACGACATTTATGCAACAAGACTTATTGTTAAGAAATATCTACTTGCTTAATACTGAGGTTTTTTTTAAAGGGGGAACATCATCGAATGACTACTCCCGCCAGGGTGAGGCGAGAGGGAGTGTCCGACTCTTACTGATTAAAAACCACCCCGTTCCTACTCCTGCACTTCCAGCCAGAGCCCCGGTAACCCCTTAAGTTCTCCACGGCTCCGTATCGGCATCAGCCCTATTGGACCCCATTCGTGGTGATCTGATGGGTCTTTGAGGCGCGCGCGGAACGCGACGGGTCTGGTTCTGGTCGGGCAGCGAGCCATCCATGCTCGCCGTCCGCACGCCCGCGCTACTACTTAGGCTATTAATACCATATTTCGACGAAAAGAATCAATAGAGATGTGAAAAACAAGATAAATCATATCGAAACAAACAAAAATGTTGCAATGTTGTTTATCAATACATCATAGTGAAAGAAAAAAGAAAATAACTAAACACGTAACATAACATCACGCCTTTTATACCCGAAAGGATAGGCAAAGGTGCTCATTATGGTACTTAATGCCACTGTATAATGTAACACCCACTTTTCACTATTTATGTTAAGAGTTCCATGTAATAGGACGTGAGCCTATTGCCAAATACCGGGCACAATTCCAAACTCCGTGTTACTAAAGAGATTTTTTTTAAATCGTGTCATTCTTTGCCGAACCGAACCGGGACTGGAACCCTAGATCCCTTGAGCAGTAGTCGCACTTGCTATCACTCGGCCAACGAGGTAGTCTAAAATAATTTAACTCTATTGTGTACAATAACCCGCATTGAGTAAGCATAGTGATTAATGTTCAAACCTTCTCCGTGTGAGAAGAGGCTTTGCTCAGTAGTGGGCATTTATAGGCTGTTAATGATGATGATGATGATGATGATGTGTACAATAACATAAAGATTCAATCGTAATTTGTCACTAACTTCTTCGTAATCATAATCTTAGTAAAATATTGTATTTCTAGAAGTAAACACGAGCTGTGAAAGATTGTGAAGTTGTTGGATAAATGTAGGAAGCGACATAAACACTACATAACTTGGGCGGAAGACACTCGTTGCTACTCAAGTTTCCTTTCACAGTCCGTTCAACACAGAAACATTTTTGTATCCAATTTTCGTGGATGTTTCTGGATTTTTACTCTTTATACTGTCCATTTTTAAAGGGGTTTCAACATTTTATGGCTCTTGGGTCGAATGTCGTCAGCCATTTTGAAAAAGAGCGGTTTAACAACACCTACACGTATATGTACTACAATGTATTGAGTTGTTTAACATAGGTATTATTATACTATATTTATTTTATGCTTGCTGTTCATCATGGCACAGAGATATAGTAAAAATATTTATACTAGATCTACTTTTAACCAGATGTTTGTCGTATCGTAATGCCTAGAGGCTACCTTTTACCTACATTGCTAATTAAGAGGCCCTTTTTTGAGGGGGAAAATCATATAAAGACTTCTCTCGGCTGGGTGAGGCTAGAGGGAGTGTCAGACTCTTACTGACTAAAAATAACCCTGTTCTTACTCCTGTACTTCGAGCCGGAGCCCCGGCAACTCGTTAAGTCCTCCGCGGCTTCGTATCGGCATCAGCCCTCTGGTCTGGTTCTGTTTGGGCGGCGAGTTACCCTTGCTCACCATCCGCAGGTCCGTGCTTCCCGCGACGGCTATACTAACAATTACAGTTCTGATGTAATCGTTAACAATAAGTTTGTAATACTTAAAATAGGTTCTAAAGCTTATTTCACAGAAATACAAAATCAATATAAAAACGATCCTGAAGCTACAAACACGATGTTGTAACAACGATTACAAAATGTAGTTACATTTAAACTCACTAACGATGCGCCAGGGAATCCGTTATCATCAATTTGTCGAGCTAGTCGACTGTGACAAGTGACAGATAAAATGCAGTCGCTCAGTTTAAGGGGTCCCAGTGATTTATTGATGAGATCTCGTCGACCCCGCGACTCCCGCCCGCTGGCTTGACAAACTAAACCACGAAACCACGAACACAGGCTTAGCTAGATAGTTGCTTATCGATCTCTTTACCCGAATGTCGCCGACTTCAAATGAGGAATAACATTAGCAATTTCAGTGCCCACTCACAGTATTAAGGAAAAAACATTGGGAAATTTCCACGGGAAAATTACCTACAAACATTTGTAAACATTTAAACACTATCAGGTTACTAATTGCGAGCCTATTCTAAATATTATAGTCATCAGTAATACCAAATTAATTAACTAATATTTCTATCAAAATCATGTTACACTTGTCTATTAAACAACAAGTATCTTCCTGGTACAATTATGTTAACAGAATTCAATTGGGGATTGAATTAATCGCAGCTAATCGCGTGTAGTTTTATTACTTGTAACATAGAAATAATTTGACTGGATTTGACTGGTTTGACTGGACCGGGCAACCGGCTACCGTGCAACGTGTCGGGGGTTCGATTCCCACACGGACAACTCTTTGCGTCACCCACAGATTGTTGTTCCAGGTCTGGGTGTAATGTGTATGTGAAAAATGTACCCACGATATAGGAGAAAATCATAATGTGGGGCTACGTTAAAAACAATTGAACCATGCTAATATTTCTGGAATCTGAAGTGTAGATTGCGAACCACCGAGGTTACCACCTGAGCTTATCTTTCTGCATATTGCAGATTAGACGATGCGTATGTCGTGATAAAGTCATCAGCCCCAGTTATCAGATTGCAGCACAAAGCGAAGTCCCCGGTCTGGACACAATCATTGTGAAACCAATTCATCAGCATGCCATAACAAATTTAAATTCTCAATCATGGAAAATTGCACATTCACTCGATTCTCCCCACTTTATAGGTCGAAAGGCAGAGTAAACAACTGGCTGGCTGGAATACGCAAATAAAAAAAAATGCTCCCATTAATGAAAACACAACGTAATCATTTTACGAAAGTAGGTATTTGTATTTTGGAACATTACAATACCTGATATTTTATTGTGCAATACTGGTACTTCTCGATATCAATACAGTAAATTTTTATTAGTCATAGCGACTTGTACCTATTTGTACCTAGTAAACGTACCTGGCACATATATTCCAATATTTTCAGGTGCACATATTGAAATATGTGTTTTATATCGCACGGAACATACTATGTTTGGTGCAATATGAAATATTTGCTAGCCAGAACTGTTTCATAGCTGTGTGAATAAACGGCGTTTAGGACATCGAAGTACTAAACGTTGGCAACTGTAAACATTTTATAACGCATAAATATTATACACATATAAACAAACAAATACTACAATTTTAAAGAAAATGAAAATTATTTTAAAAACTGATGCATTTATTTATTGCCCATCAATATTTAAGCACTCTCGTATTCACAAAGGTGTATCGCAGGCATACGTTTATTTTTTCGCAAAATTTTCGTATGTGACTTTTATTTTTTAATATTTATTAACTTTAAGGATCCTTTGTAGGCATCAAATAACAAAATTATAGTCAGAAAAAGAATATTTTAACTCTAAAAATAGTTAAAAAATAAAAACATACGGTACTATGACATAGGTATAATTAAAGCGAATACAGCAATAAATAATATTGGCCATTTATATCAGAGTTATAGGCGTTACAGTCACATTTACATGTGGCGTGGCGTTATCGAGAGACTTATCAGTTTATAACGTCTAAATAAGCGGCGGGGGCCGACACCATGTTATTTACAACTATGCAAATGGCCGAGGAAAATTCACCACTAAATTTTCCTCAGAGACAATGGGCCTATTAGCACCCGATTCCGAGTAGTGCACACACGAACGCTGATTAGAAATGTAAAAGGATCTTTGTTGCTTGCAGAGCTAATGGAATATTCCGGTATGGGTTTCCAATCGATTTGCCGTATGATAATAAGAGAAATCGTTTGAGGATAGGGTACTGCGTTTGTGGTAGGTCGTTTGAAACATTTTATGCAGTTAATTAGGTATGTGTGGCGATTTTATGGACACACTATTAATATTTTATGTTATTTATTTACCCACTTTATTGTACACCATAAAAATATATATAGAAAAATAAACATAAAAAGAATGTGTACAATGGGCGGTCTTATCGCAGAATGCGATTTCTTACAGACAACTTTTGCATGGGCTCCATGCAAAGGTTGCCTGTAAGAAATAAGTAATCAGGAGTTGGAAAAAAGGGGGTCGCCTAGTGTACAATAATAATCAAACCAATACTTATTGAATTGCTTATATATAGAAGTAACGATACTTACTTTCTCGCTAAAGTATTTTGTGTGTAGTTTTGTAACATATAAACAAATTCTATACAGTCGTCATAATCTGACTTTGGTTTAAATGTTTCATGTTACTTATGTGGATGTTAATTAATGTTTCCTTATTAAAACTTCTGTTTCTAAGTACCTACACCGGAAAAATCACAAGTCTTACGTTTCTCAGAAAGTCTTGTATTATATTTAGACTTCAAATGAAAGATATTTTAATTGAACAAATCATTATACTTATACAGAAATAAACCAAGAAATATTAGTCAGAAATTAAACGACGAGTAATTTAGTTTCCGAGGGTTTAAGGAAATATTTTCTTAATTATAATTATATGGAATTTGTCGTAAATGTAAGACGCGACGCTAATGTAAGAAGTCAAGTTAAAATATTTCTTGCAATCTATATATACCTATAAAAATTAAACCCGTTTCCCGTTGTCACACCATAACTTGAGAACGGCTAGACCGATTTGGCTGATTTTTTTTTTGATATCGACAGGAGAAGGTTCTTATGACAGAAAAAGTTCCTGAAAATCCTACGGGAATGGGAGAAACGGGATTGTGCGTACGAAGTCGCGGGCAGAAGTTAGTTTCAAATAGATACTGTTTCTGGTATTTAGACCGGTTCTTACTATGATTTCAGTTGAAGATTTCAACTTCATGGTAGTAGTTTATTGATTAAATGATTTACTAAATAAAGAATTCGGTTACGGTGTGAAATAATTTGATTATACTAACCGACTGCGCGCTCATATTACGAATAACTGCTAATATTTTAGCATAGAGATTCTTTTAAACTGAAATATGTGGTAGTAGTTATTTGTCAAATGACTTTGAACTGGAGGCAAATTTGATAAGTACATTAATTAGAAAGTCGCAAATAATAATCATTATTTATCTATGTCAAAACAAAAAACACGCAGTAGGTACGCCTACGTTAAAAAACCGACTTCAAAAACCAAAAAATAGATACAAACATAAAGTAAAAAGCAAAAAATAACCATTATTAGTACTGAATATTTTGAAAATCAGTACAAAAATGGCGGAGTAATCGGTGTACATCGATGATTTTGAAGTCGGTAAAAATACAGATATATGCACTGATACTTTAAATAAAAATAAGCTTTTCATATTGCTCACTTCCACAAACTACCACCGATATTTTGCTTATAAACAATGTAAAGTAATTGAAAAATAAAATAAAGATTAACACTGAATTTACTTGGAAATATTCCCTCAAAGTCCTTTAATAAAATGAAAAACTTGTTTCTTGTTCCGTACCTTCTTTAATATCTTTACAATAGCCTCTGATTAATAACTAATAAGATTTTCCCAGACCTGTATTACTTGTAAACGGAAAATTATTAAATTAACAAGATAACGTGTACAGACTTTTTAAGAAACTGATTAGACAGAATAAAAAAAGAAATAGGTTACAAATAAATGTACCTCTTTGGTACCTTAAATTTTAATCTATTTCTTGTATTGGTGGTTTATAATACATACTGTTTTGATCACAAAGGATAGTTATTTATGCTCTTTTTTTTAAAGGACTTTGAAACAGTGTTGGCTTACTACCTAGCTTATACTGAGTTGTACCTCTTTTGTCATTTATTTATTTTTAACAGTCACAACGGCAGAAAATCCAATTACAGTAACTGACAAAGTTTTTTTTTCTTATTTCTGACAAATAGTTGACCTTCTTTATAATAGGTTAGTTTTGTTCATAGATCGCAGTTTAAAGCGGTTTTTATAGATTCGTTTTAATACCAGGTGTTGACATTTAAAAGCGAAAGACGTTGGTTAAGGCGTGGGTTGTTCAGTCTATTTAATTGTTTGCCGAAAAACGTGTGACCTTATCTTTCCTATCTTGGTTTAAAGTATTTATACTTACTAACAAAAGACTTATTTTCCCGATCAATCTTCTGGTTTCCATTTATTTTCTTCCTGACTTTTATGTCCTACCAAATTTGACCGTAACTTGTTTCTATATCTGTATATATAAAAGAAAGTCGTGTTAGTTACACTATTTATAACTTAAGAACGGCACAATCGATTTCAATGAAAATTGGTGGAGAGGTATCATATAAAAATAAATAAAATAAAATAAAATAAATTTATTTCAGACATATTGGGTCCATACATTTACAGTTTATTATTATATATTCCTAATTAATTTAATTTAATTTATTTACATTATAACACCGCATTATCAATTATTCGTTCTATTATATTGTCAATTTAATCAATGTCAATTTAGGTAAAAAAAATAAAAAAAATATCATCACATCCACACAAATATAAATAAGACATGAAAAACAACATTATTTCATTTCTTTTCTTTTAACCATATAACCAGGAGATATAGGATGCTTTTTTTTACTTTTTTATCGAAAATCACGAACGGGAACGGGAGAAAACGGGATTGCGCGTACGAAGTCGCGGGCAGATGCTAGTATAATATATAACTGGGTGAGTGAAAAAGGCTCATGTAGAATTAGCAGTGATTGCCACTATTGCTGAAGAAATTTATCTATCAGAAAAAAGAATATCAGAATCATTTCAGTTGTTTTAGAGATTAGCGCTTCGTAACACATTTAATAATGTATCATAACATATGTGTGAAAATATACACAATATCGCTTCCGTTTCTTTGTATTTTAGTCTAAAAAGTATTTTTAGGTTAACCGCAGGACAATATAGTAACAGTCATTGTATTGTAGTCGTGTTGGTACATGGCTTAATATTGAAGCTTTGATCAGTATCTATGGATCTTCTACTCAACGGTCGGATTAAGAGCTAACTGATAGCGAATATTCTAGACACGACACGATGGACACTGGGCGGTAGGTATTGGTGATAAGATATTCAGTGTAACCAGGTCATACCTTCACCTATAAAGTTGTTTTTTTTTATTAATAAATACATAATATTTATTATCGCTAGCCATCAGGCGAAATAATGGACAAACGCTAACACATCATCATTAAAAATCTAATGTCGTGCTACTACAGTCGCCGCGTCGCGGGTCGCGAAATGCTGCTCATGAATATGAGCCTCTAGCATGGCTTGAAACTAGTTGAGTTCCTTGTCAAATTATTATGTGAGTAAGCATAATAATTTATTTAGTATGTCTCACGAAAGTTACAATACAAATTAAAAAATCTGTTTAC